GGTCACTTTCGCCGACCGTCGTCTTTTCCTTTTTATTTTGACGGCTTCTACAAAATCCTAGCAAGAAACAAAGCTTGATAGATACGTTACCGTTTCGTTATCTCAATCCCGCCCCTACAGTAGATGCTGGGGACGGAGATCGATCGACGTCAATGATAATACGGTCCTTTTTTTTTGTGTGTGTGGTTATATTTAAAAACTTGGAAATTTAGTATTTTTTTTAATTGGAGTTGACACCATGGATATCGTAATGCAGTTATCTGGCAACTGATATTTTAATGCAGCGTAAGCTTATGGGACAATTTTTTCTTTATTCAATTAACTCCATTGACGTTAATGTAGTGTAATACACGCAACAATATTCCGTTAAGATTCTCCATTAAAAATATCGATTAATATTTGCTGCACTAATTAATTTGGTATAGACGTATCAGATTAATTAAGGTGTTGTAGGCTTGTAGCCTGTAGGTCTAAGCAAGATAGATAATTTATTTTTTTAGCTCCAATCTTGTAGCCCGTAGGGGATAAGCAGTCCGATCCGTGTAATTCAGCCTGTTATGGGCTTTGGCCCGTAATTCTACCTCTTCGTTGATAGAGCCGGAAAAAAACCGAGATAAAAGAGTAGTCAGTTTGTAGACAAATAAATTATCGAGAAAAGAGTATGTTTTTGTCACTAATGGGTGATTCTAAAAATGTTTAGAGAAGTAAAATAACACGAAACAAATGAAAATCATATATAAAGAAGTATATCTTAATTCACTTTAAAATAGTCTCATCATAGGATACGACGCTTCGCTATTATTGGCAACATGTGTCGAATAATCAAGAAAGAATCTCTCACAAAACTTCACCTTTCATATGAATCGTATCTTTGTTTTTTTTATAGAGGAAATGTGATATTTTAGTTAAGTATCTCTAAATCAAGCGATGATCATAACTCTAATTGGAAGATATTAATAAATCCATCAACCATCTAATTAATGAAGCGATTACATATCATGATGTAGCTAGCTTTATAGCGTGTCAGGTGCTTCTAGCCAGGCTGTATAGGGGCATTGAGCAAGCTTTTAATTATTCTCATAGTCTTCAGATTCTGTTCGCCATTGCACCATCATCAGCAAGAGAATGATTTGGTTAATATATACAACTATATATAAGCTGACGATTATCTAACATATGATGTATAACTGTGTAACCACTTCATTGAATTTAAATCTATCTCTAACTTATAGATTCTGTTCATTCCCATCTTTCTGAAAATCGATATTAGTCGTAGATAGAAATCGAAGTCCAGCAAATGGTTAGGGTACATCACAGGGGAAATAACTCTCGTAGCTAGGTTAGTGTCCACCCTATTCTAATTAGTACGCGATCTTCTAGAGAGAATACCCAAAAAATAAATTCATACGGATTCGACCTGATGCGAACAATATCGTACTAATAAAACTATCCAATTCCTACAAATTTTACTTCGCAACGAACTATTGTTGGGAATGCGGTTTCTAACAACTATATATCACGAAGACTTGTTGGATTGAGACTTGAAGGCATGAACCTCACACTAGCTCTCTCTCCCTCTCTAGCTAGCTGGATTCTTCAAGGGCGTAGGAGTCATGAAATAGCTCGATCGATCGACCACCTCTCTTTTCAACCAAATTAAGACTAATTAATCTTTATCATTTTCCCCCTTCTTCCCACATGCATCATCCGGCCGTGATTAATCTACACATAATATAATACACCGAAGGGAAAAACGGAAGCTCCATTTCAAATTTCCTGCAACGAGAGTGAAAGTAGGAAGGACATTTTGGTCTTCACAATTACTTTTTTTTATTCATTAAAAAGACACGTACTGGGATTCGAACCATGACCATTTTAAAGAAAAGCAAGGATAATAACCAATCACACTAAGCACATTTGTTGTATCTTTTTAAATTAAAAACATATAATAGCAGGGAGGAAAAAACCCTTCCCCCATTTCAAATTCCCTGCTCCATGAGTGTTTGTAGGAAGGGTAGAATAGGAAATGTCAATTTTTTTCTCTTTCCTCTGTGGAACGGGCCAACTTACCGTACACATGCGAATTTAAACGGGTCCAGGAGTGTCAATTTTTTTCTTTTTTTTATTTCTCCGTGGTGATAAAATATATATGAAAAGGAAAAACTAATACTCCTTTTTATTGTTAAAAATAAAAAATTTAACAATAAACTAATGCATGGTATCTAATGGGCTAACCGCTAACCATAAAATAAAAGAGTTGAATGGGCCTGACCTACATGGGATTTGGCCATCAAGTAAAACAAATGAACATCATTGGTTTGTCATTCTAAAACAAGCTATTTTCTATTATGCTATTATTTTATATCTTAGTGGCTAAAATATAATGTATTTTAAAGTTATTCAATGGTTCAACCTCGACCAACACAATTAGTCCAATTTTTATCATTTCAAATATATATTTTATAATTATTTGATATCACAATGATCAAATTATAGTGTATTTTATAGGGAATCGTTTGGTATTTGTTAGTAAAAAACTAAACATAACGATCTATTTGGTTATTTTAAACATTATAACGATCCTAAACATTTTCAGTTCCTTTTGAATTTCCATGGTTTTAATCTCGATTAAGTGATGTGCAAATGGCGAATTGTAGTCGTCTCTTTTCTTTCACTATTTTTTTTATTTTCAAATAGAAAGTTTAAAAGTAAAGAATAATTAGAATTTGGCATGGGTCGATCGAACAGGCTGAATTTCAAGTTTTGGCCCGTTTGTTTTATGCATTGCAAATTTATTAGCATGTTGATGGAAATGGCTTGGAAAAAAGACATATAAGTTGTACCTTTGCAGAAATGTCCTCAAATGTTTGAATGCTTTGTGAATCAGGTTCCGTGACTTTTGTGATGGTGTATGTGCTTGACGATTGCTCTTTTGATTTTCCCTATGAGTTGTGATACCAGTTCTGGTGGTTGCAGCATGTTGTCGTTGTTGGCCTGTAAAAGTTGTTCCACCGTGGTGCTAAATACCTTTCTTTCCTTTTTAACAAATTGTGTGGTAGTGCTATGAAACAGACCACCCATGAATGTTACGCTTATTATGGTCTGTTCTTACTTCCGGTGGTGAGAAATTGTGAATTGAGAATCATATTCGCCTACCGCACTGTGTCTGGCTGGTGGCTGCTTACTGTGCTCTCTAGAGTTATGAAACAGACTACCCATGAACGTTACCCTTAAGAGTCCATAACTTTGCGAAAAACCAAATTTAGGCAATCAAAGGTGGTGGATGTATGATATTTTTTATGGCTTAATTGTTTGTGAATTGGATATATGATCTTTGTATGATTAGAGGGGATGTTTGCTTAATAGAATAATCCATTTTAATTCATGTTTATTTTTAACATGAACTTTAGTAACTCAAAACCTTCGAGACACATATCACCTACTGCATTGTATCATTTTGCCTGGGTGCTTGCTGTGTTGTCAAACTTCTTTGCCGCTGCTGCTGCTTTTACACTAACAGGGGAGTTAAGAACCCATGAATGTTTTCGTTTGACACAAACAGGAGGACTTGCTTCTAAATCGTGCAGTTGATATACTGGAGACCAGAACAAAAGCAATGTATAACATCAAAACCAACCATCTGAACTATTAGCATTGTTGCTTTACTCTTTTTTCGTGGTTAGGTCTCCTTCAAAAAATTTAGTTTGATTTTAGAAAATTTTGCTTCTGCAGTCCTGTCTTGCCACCAACGCGTTCAGTAGATGGAGATGGCAGAGGCGAAGGCTATTTTTGTGTTGTTGTTGCTGGTTTAGGGATCGGTTTGTGAAGAAGAGGGAGAAGAGAGGGGGAAAGGGAAATGCAGGAGAGGGGGTTAACTCTTTTCTCTGACAAAAATGGAGTGAAGAAAGGAATTATGATCAGTAAGGATATGGTTATCTTACATAACTGTCTCTATTCTGTTGGAATTGAGCTTGGGAGGCAGTGATAAGGACGAGCTGCAACCAATTCATAGTGAGAAGAGAGCTATGAACTGTGATCATGTCCTATTTCAAGTTAGAAGGTAGTTTTGAGTATAAGGATTATTTAATTTGACAAGTTGTTTCGTCCATGATTCTTGGTAGTTTCAGTGCCATTCTAGCCATTGTTTAGTCTGTAATTTTTGAGAATTGATTTGCGAGTAATGACTTTCACTTAGCTTCACTATTATGCGTGTATTTATTGTCATGTGATAGAATTCTCTTTTCCTTTCTTTGAATTCAGTTTCATACTCTAATTGTATCATTTGTACATAGGCAAATCATGCTCGAGATGACAACTCGCCGATATGGCTGGTGCAAGGAACGAAGCCATCATTAGAATTCAGACCGACAACGGGGAGGGATGCCCAGGACTAATTCAATGATGATTGATGATGGTATAATAAAAACTGCAGTCTGCATCAGCACCAATTTCTAGGCCTAAGTAAAGTTATTCAACCAGAACTCTGCTTAGCGCTAAAAATTCCCCTCACCCAACCTTGATCTTGTTTGACCCACTTATGAAGATTCAAGATATATGACTAATCCTCTCCGTTCGTATTTTCTTATTGACTCTTTCTGACCCTTTAGGTTGGGGCGGGTCGGGAAGAATCGGATTAGTGGGTCGGTCCTAAGCAAGTGGAATCCCAATTCCTTCTACTCTCACTTGCTTTTTCTCCTATTCCACAAGTGGGTAACATACACTAATCCGGCCAACGGCCCGGGTAATAGGCTAGTATTAATATAAACAAAGAAGTCAAATATCAACAAGAAGCAAATTAATAACTAACAAATCCAATCCCCCAATCTGGGATTAGAAGGCTCTAATAGCATCATCAATGCAATGTTTGGTCAGTGCTTCATTGCAAGCTCCCTAGCTATATAAATTCATTTCATGTACCAATCTATCACATAATACCCACAAAAATTCTTTCACAAAAGTACAAACCTTTTGTTTTCTTCTTCTTCTTGTTCTTGTTTCACATGGCTACCTCAATATCAAAGCTGTTTTTGGGTTTGCTTCTCCTTGCATTCTTCACGGCAACAAACGGCCAACTCAAAGTTGGCTACTACGCAGAGACTTGCCCAAATGCTGAGGCAATCGTGAAGGAAGTGATGGATCAAGTCATGTATGTGGCTCCTAGCCTTAGTGGCCCTCTCCTAAGGATGCACTTCCATGATTGCTGGATCAGGGTAAGCATATGAAGTCGTTTGACATTTTCGCAACTCCATAATAACCAGAGAGATTAGTCGTAGTCGTCGATTGACACGACGAATAAATTTTAATATTCTATATCGATTACTGTTTGTATATAGCTAATGTGAACCGATTTTTGTCATGAGTGGGTTGATTGAGACGAAACATTTCATCCCTATATGCATGCATGTAATCAACGTGGTTTGCTATTTATTGGAGTCCTTAGTTGATCTTGTTCATTATGTGACAGGGTTGTGACGGTTCCATTTTAATAAACTCCACAAAGAACAACACCGCTGAAAAGGATTCACCTCCTAATTTCACCCTAAGAGGGTATGGAGTCATCGACAGAGTGAAGGCAGCCCTCGAGAAGGAATGCCCCGGAGTTGTTTCCTGCGCCGATACCTTAGCCATAGTGGCCAGAGACGTTACAGTTGCGGTAAGTTTTGCTATACTACGAGTATTGTAATAATTTTTGACAGAGCTATATTTCTTATTGATAGGGTATCATAGTGACTAAGGAATTAATACCATGGCTAATGACATGAGGAAGGGAAGAAGACAAGAGGAAAAAGACAAGGCTGGGGGACAAGAGACAAGCCCAGGCACCTGACATCAGCAAGGACAAGGGGCAGGGGGACACCCTCTGCCAAAAGGACTATGAACAGTGTCAGAGAGTTTGAGGCGCCCGACCAGAGCATTTATGGCTTGGCAGGCGCCCAGACCACTACCTAACCTTAAATGTGTATAAATAGGAGTTCTCTCCTCATAAATGGCAATCTATCTACTCTTACTACTACTTCTCTCTACTTTCTCTCTCTATATCCTTCTCTTTTCTTGCTTCTGACGAGGCGGGGCGCCTACCCCTCCAAGGTCATGGCTGACACCCCAAACCCCTTGGACCCGAGTGACGCCCAGTCGCCCGGGCTCAAACAATTGACGCCCACCGTGGGGTCAAGCATGACTTTGAAAGACGCTTCCAACTCAAAGAAGGGAGAAGAAAGGAGTCCGGTACCAACAAAGACCCCTCTCAAGCAAGTGGTTGGTCGCGAGGCGATCAACCCCCAACCGCTCACCATCCAAGGCTTAGAAGTGTCCGACGACGACGACCCATCAGGAGACGGAGAAGGCGCCGAGCGCCTAGAGGAGCAACTAGCGGAGCTTCGGAAAAAGCAAGCGCTTCAAATGGCAAACATGCAAGGCCAACTAGACCAAGTCATGACCGCGTTAACGGCACTAACAAAGGTCAACGACCAGGCGCCTCCAAACCCCCAAGAAGCCGTAGAGGAGAGGAGGCGCCTCCGAGGGAAGATGCAGGAGGTTGATGTGGCACCCACGAACTGCCCACGGGAGGGTGTGGGCGCCTTACCAAATGAAGACGCAATGGAAGCTGACACCGACATCTACATGGAGAAGTACGCTCGGCTTAACTACGGCGCCTCGGAAGATAGGAGTGCCCAAATCATTAAGCAGCCATTGTCAAAGGGGGTACTCGAAACACCAATCCCATCAAACTTCGCAAGCATCGGCCTACCCTCATACGACGGAAAATCTGACCCAGAAGATCACCTAAGTACGTTCTGCCGCAAAATGCAACTCCTCAATGCGTCTGACGCTGCCTTGTGCAAGGCATTCCCCTCAACCTTCACCGGAGGATGTAGTAGTTGGTACTCCTCACTCCCAGAGGGCATCATTCAGAGTTTTTCTCAATTCGCTTTGTTATTTACAACAAAGTATGCAAGCCAAAAGAAGCAAACGCTGACGGTTCGTGCGCTTGTCAATCTTAAGCAAAGGAAGGGGGAGAGCCTCAGGCACTTCATGGGGCGATGGTGGGAAGTCGCGGCCGACGTCAAAGACTTAACCCCTCCACTCATGCGCACCAATCTAATGGATGCAAGTACCAACGAAGAACTAAGGCGCTCCCTAGCCAAACGAGAGATACGGCAGGTAGCTGAATTAGAAGAAAAGATTCAAAAAGCAATCCTCATGGAGGAGGCGCTAGGGGCAAAGGAGGAGGAGCAAGGAAGTGGGTCCAGGCGCCCAGCTCAGAATGGGAGGGGCGAGGCGCCTAGAACCAGAAGGAGGAGTCCAGATCGACGAGATGATGCCCGACGTCCCAATGTCTGGGTAAGAAGGGACGTTCTTGCAAATTCACAAGAGCCTCGCCGAGACCTAACCAACCGCGAGAATGCAAACCAACCTCGAGGGCAAGCAGATATGTACTGCGAGTATCACAACTCTCGCACCCATAACACCGTTGACTGCCACTATTTCAAAAAAGCACTTAAGATAATCTCTGATCGGGGAGGAGTAAGAGAAATGTTCCAAAAAGCAGAACAAGGAAATCGGTCCCCGCGGGAGCGCAGTCGCTCTCCAGCCGCAAGACCACCAGTACAGGAGCGTCTGGGTCCTAACCCAAACGTTAAAGAGATAAGAACCATCGCAGGAGGGGAGCCCAACCGAAAGAAGAAGCGCAAGGGGCAAGCGAGTGACACATGGTGTATGAAGATCGCAAAGCAAGAGGGTCCCGACTTGTCATTTACGTCACAAGATTATCCCCCGGAGGGCCCGTCTGAAAATCCCCTTGTCATCAACATACAGGTGGAAGGGTACAAGGTGTTCCGAGTACTGGTAGATAGTGGGAGCTCCGCTGACATACTGTTCTATTCCTGCTGGCGCCAAATGCAAGCACCTCCCGAGGTCATGAAAGCCTCAGAAGCCCAACTTGTCGGCTTTTCTGGAGCAAAGGTGAAGGTACTAGGGACTGCGCGCTTAAGAGTCAAGGTAGGAGACGAGGAACCGAGTGCCACGCACCCGGTGGACTTCCACATTGCCGACTGCCAGTCCGCATATAATGCCATCCTAGGGAGGCCCTTCCTAGCTCGGTTCGGAGCTGTAGCGTCAACCTGCCATCAGGCGATGAAATTCCAAACGCCCCAGGGAATGGGGATAGCCAGGGGAGATGCGAAGACAGCAAAAGCGTGCTATGCGACGACCATTCACAAGCCAAAAATATATACGATCGATGCTAGACCAACGGAAGTACCGCGCCCTGGAGCAGTTGATTCAGAGATAGAACTACCATTAGACCCTGACGACCCGAGCCGGGTTGTCCGACTCTCCGCCCATCTACCAGAGCACATGCGTCTCCCAATGGTCAGCCTGTTAAGGGAGTACGCTGATCTGTTTGCTTGGAGCCCCGAAGACATGCCAGGTGTCTCTAGGGATCTTATGGAACACAAGCTCTCCGTCAAACCAGAGAGCGTACCAGTGCAACAAAAAAGGAGGGGAGCATCGTTGGCAAGGAGGGTGGCCATGATGGAAGAAGTACAGAAGCTGCTTAAGGCAGGTTTTATTAGAGAAGTGCAATACCCGAAATGGTTGGCAAACACAGTATTGGTCAAGAAGCACAATGGGACATGGCGAATGTGCATCGACTTCACCTCGCTAAACAAAGCATGCCCGAAGGACCCATATCCACTGCCAAGGATTGACCAGCTAGTCGATGCCACCTCAAATCATGAGATGTTAAGCTTTCTTGACATATTTTCAGGGTACCACCATATCCCTCTCAGCGAAGAGGATCAAGAAAAAACAGCTTTCATGACCCCGTACGGGAACTATTGCTATATAGTGATGCCATTCGGCTTAAAGAATGCAGGCGCTACCTATCAGAGAATGGTGGACAAGGTCTTTGGAGGGCAGATAGGACGAAATGTGGAAGCATACGTGGATGATGTGTTAATCAAAAGTAAGAAAGAGGGTGACCACCTGAGCGACTTAAGGGAGACATTTGAGAACCTGAGGCGTCACAATCTGAAGCTTAACCCCCTCAAGTGCGTGTTCGGGGCAGGTGCGGGTCAATTCTTAGGCTTCATGATCACTCGCCGCGGTATTGAGGCTAATCCGAAACAGATAAAGGCAATTGCCGAACTCAAGTCGCCAAGGACAGTAAAGGAAGTTCAGGGATTAGCAGGTAAACTCGCCGCGCTCAATAGATTCATTCCAAGGTCAGCGGATAGGTGCGCCCCCCTCTTCAATTCTCTAAAGAAAAAATCCAAGTTCAAATGGACGGAAGCATGTGAGAAAGCATTCGAGGAGATGAAAACTTTGTTGGTGAACCCCCCTATCCTTGTGGCTCCACAGGAGGGAGAGCGTTTGTTCCTTTACATAGCCATATCAGACGTAGCTATCAGTGCGGTACTCGTCAGGCGTCACTCTGAAACTCTTGCAGACCAGCCAGTGTACTACATCAGCAAAACGCTCCTACCAACTGAAAGGAGGTACCCAATCATCGAGAAAGCAGCCCTGGAATTGGTAACTGCCGCCCAAAAGCTGAGACCTTATTTTCAAGGACACACGGTCACTGTATTGACCTATCTACCAATGAAAAGAATTCTGCATAGTACGAGCGCTTCAGGACGCTTAACTAAATGGGCAGTTGAGCTAAGTGAGTTTGATATACAATACGCTCCTCGCCCTTCCATCAAAGCTCAAATCCTGGCAGACTTCGTAGCAGAGGGTAAGATCGAGCCTACAGGAACCGATGAAGGGAGATGGAAGTTGTTCGTTGATGGAGCGGCAAGTAAGACAGGTGCAGGCGCCGGCATAGTCTTGGAAACACCGGGTAGTGTCACACACGAAGTAGCTTTGCGATTCTCGACACTCAAGACCAACAACGCGGCCGAATACGAAGCACTAATCAACGGCATGCGCATTGCGGAGGAGTTAGGGGCGAGGCGCCTAGACGGTTTTTCTGACTCCGCATTGGTGGTTCGACAGGTGTTGGGAGAATTCGAAGTCAAGGAAGATTGTTTGCTGCGCTATGTGGAAGAAGCAAAGAAGAGAGCACAGGTTTTCGAGGATTGGAAACTATCCCATATAGCACGAGGGGATAACGCGCATGCGGATGCGCTTTCCAAGCTAGCTACCGCTGTTGACTTTGAGGAGGAGCGACATGTAATTGTCGAGAAGGAAAGCCCAAGCACCCCAGGAATGGGAGTGAATAGTGTTAATATCGGTCAGGAAGAGCAGGATTGGAGGGTGCCAATCGTTGAATACCTCATGAATGATACCCTTCCAACAGATCCGAAAGAAGCCACGGGAGTAAGAAGGAGAGCGGCACGCTGTACCATTATCGGCTCAGAGCTACACCGACGATCGTACGAAGGAGTATACCTTAGGTGTCTGGGAAAGGCTGAGGCTAAGTGGGCTCTCCGCGAGATTCACGAGGGCGTGTGTGGTGGACATGGGGGGCCGAGAAGCTTGGAAAGAACGCTTAAATTGCAAGGGTACTACTGGCCAACCATGAGAAATGATGCAAAGCAACTCTCTATGGCATGTCAGGCATGCCAAACCCATGCCAAAGAACACCACCTCCCAGCTACGGCAATGCAAGGAAACGTCAGTCCCTGGCCCTTTGCCCAGTGGGGAATCGACCTAGTAGGACCCTTCCCCAAAGCTTCGGGA